GAACCGGTAGCATTTCACCCCTGCCTGTATCTCACAATAGTTGTGAAACTGAAGTTACATTTGTTGGATTTTTTTTTTTTTTTTACAATTAGTTATGCCAGCTAAAGCTTGGAAAGAAAAGGTGAGACCTTCCACTCTATGCTAAATTTAGGACTCTTATCTTGGAGCAAGTAAAAATACATCACTGTCCATCAAGAGAAAGTTTGTTTGTTTTCCATAAGAAGTCCAGCGAACCTAAGAAAGAAAATTAAAAGTTACAAACCTATGAGTTTGTCCATCAAAATATTCCACCAGCTCTTCTGGGAGCAGCATTAGAACTGCCGTGCCCGTCAACCCTCCTGATCAATTTCACACCAGCAAGTATGATGGAAAAGGAGAGAAATGGATGGAGTCACTCCTTCCTCAACACTGTTTTGATTTATCAAATTTAAAACCAGAGAGACTCTAAGCATTGTAAATGATACCAATTTGGAATAGGTCTGTGAATGAGGTGAACCATGTCCCAAAAATCTATCTGCAGGGCTGGATTCCATGTTGTGCGATGATCGATGAATCTTCCCGGAATCTCAACAGAGATATTAAAAGGTATATTAGGCTAACGCAAATTATTTTTCACATTTATTTTATGTCCCCTTCCTATCCTCTATAAGGTGACTCTGAGCCACATGATCATTTGAGGATGGACATTTTTCAACTTGTATATGGTGTGTGGATGTGCAAATAAGAAATTTGAGTTGGATCTGGTCCTTTGTATTTTCACATGAGATGCTTTACAGTTGATATAATGAAGAATTGCATGATTTCCTCCATGGTGTCGTAGGAAGGTAGCACCCACCCCCTTCCTAGAAGAATGAAATAGTCTAGAACAGTGATGGCTAACCTTTTTGCCATTGCATGCCAGGAGAGGGGGGCAGGGGAGGGTCACACATGCACGTGCCCACGCGCATGCGTGTGCAACCCCCTCCCCCCGCCGCTCCTGGCACATGATGGCCTGGTAGGCCCGTTTTTCTTTCTTACCTGGCTCCAGATCCTCTCTGTGTATCTGGGAAGGGCAAAAACAGCTTTTCCCACTCCCTTGGAGGCTCTACGGAGGCTGAAAGGGCCCATTTCCCAACTCTCGGTGGGACAGGAAGTGACATTTTTTGCTGTCTCCAGCCTCCAGAACCTCTCTAGGAGTCTGTAGGAGCCTCTCTAGGAGTCTGTAGGAGCCTCTCTAGGAGTCTGTAGGAGCCTCTCTAGGAGTCTCTGGAGGCTGGGGACAGGAAAAAATGTCACTTCCTGTCCCACCGGGAGTGGGGAAATGGGCCCTTTCAGCCTCCATAGGGCCTCCAAGGGAGTGGGAAAGACTGTTTTCACCCTTCCCAGATACACAGAGAGGATCTGGAGCCAGGTAAGAAAGAAAAACGGGCCTTCCCCACCCCGCCCCCAGGCCCTCCAGAGGCAGGAAACAGCCTGTTTCCCTACTTCTGGTGGGCCTAGAAGGACCGAAAATCAGCTGGCTGGCACGCGCATGCGCCCCAGAGCTGAGCTGGCGTGCCCATTAATATGGCTCCACGTGCCACCTGTGGCACGCGTGCCATAGGTTTGCCATCACGGGTCTAGAAAATATTAAAGAGGCAGAATATTATATTTCCCTGGATGAGAAAAGGAGAAACATGTTTTTAAAGACAAAGCTCTCTGCAGCTCCTTGCCCCGCCCCTCCTTCAGCTCCAGGGTGATGGGATTAAGACATGGCCCACAGGACATGATAGGATTAGCCCTCTACCCATCTCACCACATGGCACCTGGGAAGATTACATCACCCAGAAAGGCTCAACCAAGCCTGGGACACAGACAGCCTACAAAGTTAGCTAAGACCCCCGCCCCCTGGGAGTCTGACAGCCAATGGGATACATTTATTGTACAGGAACAGGAAACTTTAAGGCAGGGCCCAAGAGTGTGTATAAATATAATCCTCTCTCCACTCCATGTGCCTTTTTTCCCAGGCCCTCAAAACCATGTGGTCCTGTCCACCATTAAACCATCTTTCCAAACAGCCAACATGTTTCCAGTGTCTTTATCCACACTTGGAACTGAACCCGGATGGATATTTCTTCCAACAGTGTAAAAGTTGTTTGTTCCCCGACTTTACAGAATCTCCTATCACAGGGGTCTCCGATATCCTGTCTCTGGACTGGCACCGAGCTGCAACATGCCAGTAAGTGGGCCATGCAAACAAGTAACACCCCACCCATGGGGATGCAGGCAGCCCCTCCTCCAGTCCGCAGAAAAACCTCTCTCCATGGAACCAGTTCCTGGGTGCCCAAAAGGTTGGGGTCTACTGTTCTATTAGATTGACAGAAGCTTAACTCCTATCTTTTTCCTATCAAGCTTATATGCAGGATTTCTTCCACCCCTGTAAAAGGACTTGCAGGACAACTCCAGATCAGGGGTGAAATGTAAAATTTGTTACTACTGGTTCTGTGGGCATGGCTTGGGGGGGGGCGTAATGTGACTGGGTGGGCGTGGCCAACTTTTTTTTTTTAACTTTTCAAAGCATTTTTTCTAATGCTTTGAAAAGCTTCTGCAGATCAGGCAACTCAGCTGGGATCGTCAGAGACTTTTCAAAGCATTTTTTTTACCACCTCTTCGGCGAAAAAAATGCTTTGAAAAGCCTCTGACGATCCCAGCTGAGCTGCGCAATCATCAGAAGCTTCTTTTTTTTTACTTTTAAAAGCATTTTTTTGTCAGTAGAGGTTATAGAAAAAAATGCTTTTAAAAGTTAAAAAAGAAGCCTCTGATGATCGTGTGGCTCAGCTGGGCATGGGGGGAGGGTGGGGGGGCACAGGGATTTTTGCTACCGGTTCTCTGAACCACCCACCACCATCGCTACCGGATCGGACGATCCGGTCTGAACCGGGAGCATTTCACCCCTGCTCCAGATCCGTATTTCATTTGTCTTATCAGTTTGATGAGCGAAGGAAAACATTGCGGTGATTTTGCTTGGTGGCCTTCGGTTCTTCTCAAGGGGTTATCTGGCAAACGATTTGAAAATGATCTCTCTCTGACATTTCTGACCTCACCAGCTGAGTTGGTGACACTGGCTCTCTTGCAGCCCCAAGTTGTTGGTCAATGCTTGTTCCTGAGAGAAAACTACCATTGTTCATTATCCAGCAAGATTAGGAGAGGTATAAACAGACTCTTCTATTGGAACAGACATAAATAATGCCTGTGCTTCGCTATGAAATTCTGTGATCAGGCTTGATAAATTGCCACTTAAAGTCTGAAACTTAATGTAGAATGTGTAACTTCGTAGCATCATAGCATGTTAATATAAGGTAACTGGTAGTTGGAACAGAGAGGGAGAGGGACTAGAGTGTCCCAGCCTGCAGGCCGGATGAGTCACACGCTGGCCATGCCCATGCCCAGTTAGCGAAGGGGTAGCATCACAGCATGTTACTTTAAGACAACTGGCAGTTGGAACAGTTATTTTCAGGTGGAGAGGGGGAGTAGAATGTCTAACTCCTTAGCATCAGAGTGTGTTAATATAAGGCAATTGGCAGTTGGAACAGAGTTCTTTTCAGGCGGGGCGGGGGAGTAGAACATCTCGCTCTTTAGCATCAAAGCATGTGAATATAAGCATCTGAATATAATACAATAATATTGTATATGAAATACTAATGTTCTGATGGTCATTTCGAAAAATCCTTTCTTAGCAAGCACCTAGAAGCCAAGAGGAACATATGTGCCAAATTTCAAGTTTGTAGGCTTTGCGGTTCTGGAGATTTTGTGATGAGTGAGTGGTATTTGGCTTTTATATATATTGATTAGGTGTATCCCGTTTGCTGCTGAGACAGGATGCGATATGGTCAGCCAACTGATAAGTAAAGGAGAAGACATTTTGGACAGCTCTGTGATACAGCTCTAAAAGAATTATAACCCAATCTACCCGACCTTATTTAAATATGGACAAGATAAACACAGACATGTATTTCAACTTGGTAATACTTTCCAGCTCTTATTTCTTTCCAAATAACATAGAATTTTGAGACATAAGGAGCGTTTCTCTTCCACAAGTTCAGGGTTGGTCCATTATGGATGCACTGTCTGGATCCATACATTTGTAGACTTTAGAATCTTGTTTTTCATGGCCAGATACAAGTTCTTTCAGGAACATCCTTAACTCTGAAAGGGCATCTCACACATTGAGACTTAAGATAACTCATTTTATCATTCTATACTTGGTTGCTGGAATTAGGTATGTCTAGTTTAATGAAAAGAAGGACTAGGGGAGACATGATAGCAGTGTTCCAATATCTCAGGGGCTGCCACAAAGAAGAGGGAGTCAAGCTATTCTCCAAAGCACCTGAGGGCAGGACAAGAACAATGGGTGGAAGCTAAACAAAGAGAAAGAAGCAACCTAGAACTAAGGAGAAATTTCCTGACAGTTAGAACAATTAATCAGTGGAACAACTTGCCTCCAGAAGTTGTAAATGCTCCAATACTGGAAGTTTTAAAGAAGAGATTGGATAACAATTTGTCTGAAGTGGATTTGGGTTTCCTGCCTTCTTGGAGTAGAAGACCTCCAAGGTCCCTTCCAACTCTGTTATTCTATTCTATTCTATTCTATTCTATTCTATTCTATTCTATTCTA